GGAAACTTTGAGGAGCTAGGCTATACATTGTGACCTCCCAGGCCCCTTGATGGACCTCATGTCATTGTGAGTTTCTTACCTCTACCAAGTGGCAGATCCTCATACTGGGCATCTACCAGGTGGCAGATCCACATATAGTGGGATCAGTGTAGGTAGACCTTTGTGCTGTCCTGTCCCCTAGAGGGAAGCACAAGTGGCCTGAGGACTTGGGTGGTGTCATGCTCTTAGGTCCTGTCAACTGCGTAGGACACAGTCTAAGCAGCTTTGCCAGTCTGGGTTCTGCTGGAAGCTCATATAGGTTTACATTATTTGGTGGTATTGGATCATTTTATGCTCAGGATGAATTTTTTAGCTCCAAGTCACCCTTTGGGGAACTGCCTCATTTTGCACTACTTTGTGTAAAAATAAAGACTGTTGTTTAACATAACATGCGTCTTTGGTTTTGTTAACTTTGAAACTGCTGTTAAGAACCACATTGGACTATCAGGATGAAGAGGAACAGGTTTTGTGGGTGTTCCAAACTTTGTGTACTTCAGTGGGAATGATAATGGCAGAGAACAGTATTCAGTCTAGTTTGATCTAATTTACATTGTTGTCCAAGGCCTCCTGGGGTAGACTGCAGGGTTCTGTGGGACTAATGTGATCAGATGTCAGAATTTTTGGTAGGTCTTCAGGTCACCCTGAGATGAGGATATTTTTGAGCAGCATCAGTGTTGTTGTTGTTGTTGTTTTTTTTTTGGAGCTGCATAAGTTGTTGTCTTTTCACATGGGATGTCACATCATGCCTCTGGTGTTGTTCAAGGGAAGAAGTTCCCTAGGTCCAGCCATAACAGAGCCACATGCCATAATGTCCACAACTTGGGGCTGGCGTTGCTGAGTGTTAGGTTACAGACATTGGGTGGGAATCATACTTGTTACAGAAACAGGCGTGAAGTTAATAGGAACTGAGAGACTAGCAAACAAGAAGGGACACAACTTTTCTAAAACTGCATCCACAAATGTTCCCATGGCTGTTTATGATAAAAGTTTTTGCAAAAATTCTCAGGTGTTACAGAACTGGTTTTGGCATCACATAACATCTGCAAATTGTTTATCTAAGGCCATTGCTGCACAGTGAAGACAGTGGGGGATGACAGCAGAAATCCTGTAGTCCAGGCATGTGATTTTTAGGACCCAGACAGAGTTCCTGGATAACTTTGATTGCTCACTAGTCATTGCTACTGTGGCAGAATCCCTCCCATGAGACCAAGAGAGATAATGGATTTGAGGTGTGATTGCCAGAGTTCTCCTTTTCCAAAAAGATTTGTATTTTTATGTGAAGTCAATTTTTATCCAGATTTAATTGAACTGATGTATAGTGGGTCTGCACTGAATAGAACATCCCTAAATTGTCCAACTTGATAAGTTTCAACCATGCATGGAAACATCATCATAACAAACATCCATCACTACCCATAGAGCCCTTGTGTGTGTAGTAAATGTGACAAAGCTTTGAGCCAAAGGTCTAACCTCATTTGTCACCAGTATGCTCATACTAGAGAAAGGCCTTCAAATGAGATGAGAAGCAAATGAACTGTCTCCTTAGTTAATACATCTTACTGAACTGGTTCTGTAAGGGACTCCTCAACTGTAAGTTGAATGCCATCTGTATGCACACCCCCTAGTGTGGAGATGGCCTGTGGGTACATCTCCAATTCAGTAACTCAGTGTTTTCCAGAACTTTAATATCATTGGAGTGTTAATGTTTACTTTTTTATTTGTCATTTTCTTTCTACATGCATAGTTACTTTAAAAGTCATCCAAGTTGCCAATGTAAATAATTTTTTTCTGATAAATATATTATTTGGATAGACCATCATTTAACTGTTTATCCATTTATCTGTTAAAGGGTGGGGTTTTGTGGTTTGTTTCCAGTTCGCCTGCCACAAGTAAGCAAACACATAAATAAAATGCTTTATATGAACACTTGGTTTCATATTCTAAAATGAATGACTACCCATTTGCATTCCCCTTGACAGTATTCAGTTCTCCTATATTCCTCACCAGTAGTTGGTTGGTATGGTGAGTATTTTGAATATTATCTGTTTTAAAAGTGTGGAGACTATCATCTGATTGCATTTCCATACTAATTCATGATGTTGGACATTTTTGTTTTCATTTGCCAGATAAATATCTTCTTTGATATAGTGTCTGTTTTACTAGTATCTGAGAAGACAATAAGTGTGTTGGAACTTCAGTTTTCTTCAGTGAATGACTTGGCTAGGTTCTCATAACATTATTCACCATTTATACTTCTAATAATTAACATACTTGACATACATAGAAAATATTTACTCATTTTTACATAGGACACTTAGCCCCACCCTGCCCCATTTAAGTTTTAAATAATTCAAAGTGTATTTCCAGACATTGACACTTTTTCATAATTTCCATAATTTGATCAAATACAGGAATCTCCTGCTTTGCAAAAGTTCAGATTACATCACTTGGGTTTTATAAAAGACATCTTAGTATGTGTTTTCATGAAATCCAAAGAAACTTCTGAAGTGTTTTAATCATTTTTATGAAAAAAGCCATAACACCATATTAATGGCTGTCCATTGAGAAAACCGAAGTGGTGTATCGGAATTTTGAGAAAGAAGGGAATACTTATGCTTTATGACATCTCAGTTTATGAAATATTTCCTAGGAAAACTGTTCATTGGGATAGCAGGAGCAATCTGTAATTAAGCCCAAGTCACTAAATCATATTCATTTCTATGGCTGCTATAATGAATAACCACAAAGTTAATGGTTTCAGATGAAACATTATGAATTATTTTACTCTTCTGGACTTTAGAAGTCTAAGTCACTTTCACAGGGATAAAGTCAAAGTGTGACTAGGGGCTTGGTCTCTCTGGAGGCTCTAGGAATGTGGTGTTGTCCTTGCCTTTTCCAGAGTCTAGAGCTGCATTCCTTGTGTTTGAAGGCTGAAGACCACTTCCTTCTTCAAAGATCAGCACTGCAGCATTTCAGTCATCAAATCGCCTTCCTCTACCTGTCTTTTATGAGGAGACTTTGGAGTACACCTCCGGACAAACATACTTTTGGGGTAATCTCATCTCCAAATCCCTAATCGAGTTGGCAAAGTCTCTGACCATATAAGGTAACATTTCTGAGATCCAAAGATAAGAACCCAGTTGTCTTCGGGGAATATTCATCAGCCTGCCACTTTGAGTCAAAGTCCTTCAAAATATGTCTGTTTTAAGGTATATTCATTGCAATCATAATGCAAAATATTACTTGTAGGTGCGTATCATAAATGTCTTTGACCTCTAAGTATGTATGACCTCATAATTTTCCCAAAATATTGACGTAACTAAGTCCTCTACCTCTACCACATTCTCAATTTCACTCTGACAAGTTAAAATTTTAGAATGCTTGATGCCCTGTGTGGCACGACTCCCTACGTGTGCTGACACCTCCTTTTTCTGTCTTTGAGAAGAGTGGTTCCACGGATACCTGGGTGCGTCCTTTTTAAGAAGCGTGAACCCCCCCACCCCCACCACCAAAAAAAAGAAGCGTGAACCCCGCCAGTAACCCGGAGCCTTGGAAAACTGCTTCCCAGCCACCCACCGGGGTCAGGCGGAATTTTCCTGGAAGTCTGGGGCTCCGACGCTAGCCACGGCAGACAGCGGTGTTAACTACATTTCCCTGAAAGCAAAGCGCAGCCCGTATGGGTCACTGGGCCAATGAAAACACAGGACTGAGCCACTTCCGTTCTATAAGACGGCGTCTGGGTGGATCTTCCGGCCGGTGCCGCGGGCGACATTTTTAAACGCCAGTGTGATTTCGTGTGTGCAACTTTGGAGCTTGGCCGGCCTGAGGTAGAGGAAGGCAGGAAGGCGCTGTGCCCGCTGCCCTCAGGAGGGTCCGAGGCTCTGCGCCGCGCCATCCGGCCTGACTCTGACTTGGGGCCGAGACAGGCGCCGCGGTTCCCGGGTCCCACCTTCTCCCTCAGACTCCGCTGTGACGGCCGTGCTGACAGATCCGCTTCAGGTAAACGCTGCGCCCTCCGAGCCCTCAGCCAACTCTTCTCATTCTGCGGTGTTTTTGTTCTTATCTGTGTTCTCTTTCAAGTGTTTGTGTGTGTTTTTCTTTCCTCAAACCTCGGTTTTTCTAATGTTGAAATATGACCTGCTTGGGGGAAAATAAATGCTTCTGACCTTCTACGTGCAGTTGAAAAACCAGTTGTTATAAATAGGCTTTCAACGCTCAAATCAAGAAATGAGGTACAAGTAGGACCCAAAAGCCGCCTGTGGAGGTCCTTCCAAAACTATTATCCCGTCTCCCAAATGTTAAGATGTTGTCTTTTGTTTCAGGTGAGCATTTTTTTGTTTTCTTGATTGTTTTGCTTCTCAAATGTCGCTAGTGGTAGAACCTACGTGCCAATGCAGCAGGCATAAGTGACGTGGGTTCCATCTCTGGGTCAGGAAGATCCCCTGGAGGAGGAAATGGCAACCCACTCCAGTATTCTTGCCTGGAGAATCCCGTGGACGGAGGAGCCTGGCGGGCTACAGTCCATAAGGTCGCAAAGAGTCGGACACGACTGAAGCGACTTAGCACACACGCATAGTTTTGCCAACTGTGTGGGAAATATTCGACGACCGTAATTTCCCTTTGCTCAGTTGTTTAAAACTTTTACAACTGAAATCATATAAGTATTAAGTGTTTTTGTTTTCATTTGGAGAAGATGGTGTGGCTTCATCCATTTTTTCATGTCTATCCGCTAATTTTCCTTTCTTTTGTTTTGCAGTATTATATAGTGAGTGTACAGTCTATGGGGTTTCTGGGGTGGCGCTAGTTGTAAAGAATCCACCTGCCAGTTCAGAAGACACAAGAGAAGCAGGTTCAATCTCTGGATGTGGAAGGTCCCCTGGCACCCTATTCCAGTATTCTTGCCTGGAGAATCCCGTGGACAGAGGAGCCTGGCGGGTTACAGTCCATGGTGTCACAAAGAATCAGACAGGACTGAGTGACTGAGCACATACATTATATGAGTAAGATGTCTTTATAAAATCAGCTGTTGAAGGCTTTTTTTGTCAGCTTTCTGTATTTATAACCATTGCTATTCTAGCCATAACTTCTTTGCCTTCTGTTGTGTGTAAAGGACATATCTGTCTAGCATATATGTTAAAATTATTATTGTATTTAAATGAATATTTCCACCTTTTGATCTTATTTTGCTCCATGTTACTAATTTTAACTTAGTTCTTTGAATGAGATGATTATACTTAATTTTAATGGATCCTGTAGTTGTGTTTTCACACTCTCTTTTTGCATTATGCCTACTTAACAATTCTATAGTATACAGCCATTTAAGAGTTTTTCTTCTGTTTCAGTGATTGTACTCTGTTAATATTTATTTCACCGTTATGTGATGCTCCTCTGGTAGTATTGAAAGAAGATGATTAAGTTATCTTGTTAAAACACTTGTTTTAAAGGGGGGACTAAATGAATCATTGTGACAATAAAAACTCATAATGCTGGGAATCCTTACCAAGATACTTAGAACCCAAGAAGGCATTTTCATGTTTATTTAAAGAAGATTGAACAGAGATCAAGTCATATAGGTTCTTTCCTTTGCTTTAAGTTTAAAGAGTCATCAGTGATGTCCAGTTATCTCAAACTGTTGGAAGCCAAGCACTTTTACTCTTGATTCTACCAATAACCCCTTTCTCACAGATTAATTTTCTGGTGCCATTTTCTTCTTGTAATTCTCTCTCTTTTTATTTTTTATTTTTTTATTTGTTTTGGGTTGCACTGCTTGGCTTGTGGAATCTAGGTTCCCCAACCAGGTATAGAACCTGGGTCCACTGCAGTGAAAGTATCACATTCTAACCACTGGGCAACCATAGAATTCTGAGATTCATTTTCAAAGTGAAGTTAGTCAGTGGTGTTTCCATTCTCTACAACAGGAGAAAAAAGCTTGTTGGAAGTTAAAGATAATCTGTTTGAACATTTATGGGGAAAAAACTTGATATATTAAAGAATATGGTTAAAGTATAAGTTTTTTAAAAAACAATTTTTAAGATAACCGAAGTAAAATTGGAAAAGGAGTATAGGGCCTCCTGTCCAAATGTTGGGTCCAACTACAAGCTATGAGAGGAAAAAGTTATTATTGGCAAGGGAGAAATGGAAGAATGGAATCAAATGGCAATGTCAGAAAGAGCTCTGCTTAATTTTTATATGCATGGCTTGGGGCTATAATAGCCCTATATGACCTGCCACAAGCATCTCCTATCTAACCAGATAACTTATTCTGTGGATCATTGGGCTCCAGTCGTATTAGCCTGATGGAGCTACTCAGACACATCAGATGTGAATCTGATAGAGAGGCTTTGCACTTATTAGTTCCACTTCTAGAATACCTTTTCTGAAGTCAGACATAGGACCTTATGGCACAACTCCATAACATTTTCTGCCCTCTTTGTGCTTTAGTTTTCTCTTGAGTAATTTGTCTTCACCTGAAATATTAAATAGTTATCTCATTAATCTTTCTTGTCTGTGTTGCTGATGGGAATTAAAGTTTCATGGCCCTACTCTTCCTACAGGTTCCATGTTCAGCAGAACCACTTATGGACTCTTCACTGGTGAGTGTTGGTGTGCTGAAAGAGTTTGCTGCTGCTCTTTGTGAGCTTGGTGTCTGGACACCCTGGAGAAACTCTTGAGTGCAGAATTCCAAGTCCAGGCCAGAGGGTATATGGAAAGATTCCAAATTTGGCAACCAGGGGACTGAAATGTGAAAGATTGTAGGTATAGGGGTTAGTATGTACAAATGCTTGGGGATGCAATTGAGATGAGTGTATTTTAGGACTGTTGGGTCTCTGTTTATGCAGCAAGAACAGAGAACAAGGGAACCAGAGTCAGGGCTAGACTTGTAGCCTGATAAGATGGGTTTCTGTTCTGAGAATGATGGCAGAAATGGGATTTTTGTAATAGAAAGGAAAAGTGATGTGACTTTAAGTTTTAAGAGGCTGCCTCTGGGTGCAGAATGCACAACAGCCTGGTGGAGAGGAAGACAAAGAAACATAGAAGCTGTCTTAATTTTCCAGATGTGCATGGCTCTGGCTGCACCAAAGTGGTGGATGTGGAGATATAACAAATACTTGATTTCTACTTTTTTTTTTTTTAAAGTAAAGGCTGATCAGATTTTCCAATGTGGAGGAGTCACGTGCCTCCAAAGTTTTTTCCTTTTGCATCTGGAAAGGTGGAAGTACCATCAACTGATTTGGGGAAGTCTGGTAAGAGGACTTTTCAGTGAGAATATTAGGAATTAAGTTTCGGCCCTGTTAAGCCTCAGATATTGCAGTGGCTCCCAAGTGTAGGAGACAAGTGGATAGCTGACCGTGTAGATCTAGAGTAATGGGGAGGCTTTCAGATGCTATTAGGGGACAGAGGAGACACAGACAAGGAAGAGGAGTGGTCATCAACAAAAAGGTAGGGGGAAGGGGAAGGCCAGTTGGTAGGTCAGGTTTCTGTGGGGAAAAGCTATGATACTGATGCAGAAGAAAAGCAGAAATGGGATAAATTGATAGCAAAGTCATGCTGGTGCTTATTTCTTCTCCTCCGACTCACTAGGCTTTCGTGGTGGAACTTGGGAAGCTTGTAACAGAATGTCACAGTTTCTGTAGGCTGTGTCAAGTGGGTGTGGATTTTGAATGGGTGTTATATGAACAAAGATTGTAACTGTTAAAGAGACATAATGTGCAGTATGGAAGTGGAATCTGACCAGAGGTATTTAGATTATATGTCTTGTGACTGAGATAAAGTCAGGATCAAGGCCTGGTGAGAAAGCAAACTTTGTGGTCCAGGTGGTGATGATGGGGGTCAGATGTCTGAGAACGTCCATTGAGTGATATGATATGCATGTGGGGAAGGTGTGTGAACTGATTGACTGAGGGCTCTGTAGTAGTACTTTGAGAAGGGTGGGTTCAAGTTGCTGGTGTCTGGAGTGGATCACCCTGGGGACTGTCAGGCTGTTGTCTTACAGGAGAAGAAAGGGGCCCTGCATGCCAGGCCCACAGCCTAGAGGGCATCTGTCTGTAGACCTGCGTGTTGTTGCTGGGATTCGGAGCTCGTGCTCAATCATGAAGAGTTTTGGGTACCACTGCCCTCTAAATTAGGGAGCCAGGGAGGATGATGACACCAGAGTGAATGTGGATTAGGGTTGGAGGTGTTCATGGGGTCCTGGGGAAAGAGGCTGCTCATGCACACATCTGTTCCCATCATATAGAGCCCTGTGACCTTTGAGGATGTGGCTGTGTACTTTTCCCAAGAGGAATGGAGGCTCCTTGGTGAGGCCCAGAAATTCCTGTACCGCGATGTCATGCTGGAGACCTTTGCACTGGTTGTGTCCTTGGGTAAGGCCCTCACCCCTATCCCAGCATCCTGGACAGGTCTCTGCCTTTCCCCTTTTCTCTAAGAGCAAGTCTGTTCTGTTCACAGCTAGACGGTGGGCACCTCTTTATTACTGCGTCCTTCCCCTCTGTGCTGTGGGTGCCAAGACTGAGTGAGTGTGTGTTCCACCTCCTTTCACAGGTGGCCCCAATGCCAGTGGCTGAAGTTTTCTCAGTAAAAATTTTCTGTATCATAAGCCTTGGAGTTAGCTTAGTGATTTCCATTCATTTCAGCCTCTCCCTGCCAAGTTGACTCTCTAGACCCCTGTACCTTTGTGCAGCTTCTGCCTCCTTCCTGCTGACATTTCCTTGGGCCTCACTCTTTCAGGAATTGTTGGGACCCAGCATGGTCACCACTTATGGGGTGCACTTGGCTATAGCTGTGAGACTCAAAGATTATTTTTATCATTGTTTTTTTCTTGAATTCTTTTGAGATTGGTTGTTTTCTTATGGACAGTACTTAACGCTAACCTGTCTTGTTCTTCTCTTAGAACGTGGATCTTCTAAGTCCCATGTTGTTGTCCAGTTGAAGCTGGGAAGACAACCTTGGGTATAGGAGAGAATGGACATGATTCCAGGCACAGGAAGCAGGGCTCAAAATGGGTCTGGTCCTGGTGATTGGCATCACAGGGAGCAGTGACATTGTGGCTGGATTCAGTAAAATTTTGAATATGTCCTGGCCCCAACACTGTTTGTGGTCTAAGAGCAGTGACTTGTTATCTCACTTCTATCTCTCCTCCATTCTTGACACATTCCCCCTGTGATTTCTACTCTGGCTTCCAACCAGGATTATCCCTCACCTCTCTGGCTTCCACTCCTCATTGTTCCTCAACATCCTCACTCTTATGCTTTCCACTGTTTGCCCATGCTTACTGTGTCATAAAACCTGCACCTCTCCTTAAAATAGTCCTGAACACCAGCTACTCAGTGACACAATATCCTGGGCCTCGATATAGCTTTCCACACAGCACACATGTGTCACCAGCAGCCAAGGCCCTGGTGAAAACCGTTCCTATAGGAGTATATTGTCTGATTGTGGCTCTTTGCACTACTTCCCATCTTTGTATGTTTGCCTGGTGAATCTTCCCTATTCTGTGATCTGCAGAGGCCCAGTACAGCAGATCGGGGCTTTCCTGTCCTACCCACAGTTCATTTTTCCTGTTGGATTTAATCTTTCTATGTCAGACACAAATTTGTGATGGAGTTGCCTCTTTGTACATTTTTCTCCATGAAGTTCACTACCAGGTTTTCTTTTTAATTTCAGGGTGTTGGCATACAGCAGAGAATGTTTCTGTAGAAGTGCCGCAGAGAAATACCAAAAAGACAGACCTCTCCAGCCAGAAGATCTGTCCCTGGGAGATGGGTAACCTGGCCTTAGAAGTTGGTTTGTGTGTACCCGAGGTCCTGCGAACAAACCCTGGCCAGACACTGTGTGGGACAGATGTGAAATCCCACCAGCACGGTGGAGAGAAACTCATGAGAAGAGATTTGGGTAAGGCCTTAATGAAGAACTGCACAGTCCATGCATTGGAGAAGGCTTCTGTGTGCCAGGAGGCGAGGAAGGATTTCCCTGGTAGCTCTGGCCATGTCCAGCACCAGGTTAAACCACAAATGATGGAGTTTGTAGCAGAGTTTCACAATGGAGAAAAGCGTTTCAAGTGCAATGAGTGTGGGAAACTCTTCTACCGGAAGTCTAGGCTTGCTCAGCACCATAGAGTCCACACCGGAGAGAAGCCTTATGAATGCAGTGAGTGTGGGAAAGTCTTTAGATGCAGCTCCAGCCTTGCTATACATAGAAGAATTCACACAGGGGAAAGGCCTTATGAGTGTAGAGAATGTGGAAAATTCTTTAGGCAACACTCCCAGCTTGTTGTGCACCAGAGAATTCACACTGGAGCCAGACCATATGAATGCAGTGAATGTGGGAAAACATTCAGTACTAAAACCAAACTTGATCAGCACCGGCGAGTCCACACTGGAGAGAGGCCTTATGAATGTGGAGAATGTGGAAGAACCTACACCTGTAAACGCATGCTTATTCAGCACCAGCTAGTCCACACTGGAGAGTGGCCTCATGAGTGCAATGAATGTGGGAAAGCATTTAGATACATGGCCAGCCTTGTTATGCACAGAAGAATTCACAGTGGGGAAAGGCCTTATGAGTGTAGTGAATGTGGGAAGTCCTTTAGGCAAAGAGCCCACCTTCAAGTCCACCATAGAATTCATACTGGAGCAAAGACTTTTGAGTGCAGTGAATGTGGAAAATGTTTTAGCCAAAATTCTATTCTTACTACACACCAGAGAGTTCACACTGGAGAAAGGCCTTACAAGTGCTGTGAGTGTGGGAAATGTTTTAGCCAGAAATCTACTCTCATTAAGCACCTGAATTTACACTGGAGAAAAGTCACTTGAGTGCACCAAATGTGGAGAATTTCTTTAACCATAGCACCTGAAGGAGAAAAAAAAAAGCTGAAGAGTTCACACCACAGAAAGACCCCACAAGTGCAACAAATAGGGAAATATTTTCTGTCATAGGTCAGCTCTGATTGAGCACTGGACCTTCACAGCCCAGCTAAACCCAAGAGTGCAGAGAATGTAGGAAAGTGTTCAGCTGAAGGTATAGCCACACTGGTCACCAGAAAGTTCATCCTGAGAAAGACCTTCAAGCGAGATGAAGAGAGAGGCCAGTGAGCTGTCTCCTTACTGAATGCATCTTACTGAACAGGCTCAGCTGAAAGCTGATGCCATCCATGTGCACAGCCCTGGTGTGGAGAGGGCCTGTGGATACTCGGTTCTCCGGAAGCTTTAAGGAGCTAAGATCTACTTCCTTACCTGTGCAGCAACCTTGCCAGACTTCATGTCACTGTGAGTTTCTTCCCTCTACCAAGCGGCAGATTCCCGTTCTGGTTGTCAGTCCCACAGTATGATCAGGGTAGGTAGACCTTTGTGCTCTCCTGTCCCTTGGAGGGAAGCATGAGTAGCCTGAGCACTTGGGTGATGTCATGCTCTTAGATCCTGTCAGCTGCCTAGGATATGGCCTAAGCAGCTTTGATCTTGGGCATCCAGTGTGGGTTCTACTGGCAGCTCATAGAGGTTTACTTTGGTGGTACTGGGTTGTGTCATGTTCAAGATGGATTTTCTAGCTCCAAGTCACCCTTTGGGGAACTGCCTCATTTTGCACTGCTTTGTGTAAAAATAAAGACTATTGTTTAAGGCAACATGCATCTTGGGGTTTGTTCACCTTCAGACTGCTATTAAGAACTAAACCGGACTGTCAAGATGAAGAGTAAAAAAGTTTTATGGGTGTTTCAGACTTTGTATAATACCTCAGTTGGAATGATACGACAGAGAACAATGTTCAGTATGGTTTTGGTCTAATTTGCATTGTCCAAGGGCTCCTGGTATGGACTCCAGGGCTCTGTGGAACTAATGCTGTGACCTGGATGTTAGGATTTTTGATGGGTCCCGACAGGATTTTTGATGGGTCCCGAGGCCACCTTGAGACGAGGACTGTGAGCAGCACCAGTGGTTTTTGGAGCTGCGTGAATTGCTCTCTTTTCACGTGGGCTATCACATCATCCCCCCAGTACTGTTCAATGGAAGAAGTTCTCTAGGTCCAGCTGGAACAGAGCCATGTGCCATAATGTGCATAGTGTGGCAGGCTGGTGTTGCTGAGTGTTAGGCTACAGACATTGGGGGGAACCATACTTGGTTCAGAAACAGGGGATTAGTAGGAACTGACAATCTAGCAACAGGAAGGGATACAACTTTTCTAAAAGGGTGTTCATAAATGTTCCCATAACTGTGGCTGTTGATAAGGTTTTTGCAGAAATTTTCAGAAGTTACAGACATGTTTCTCTTCCTCTTGAGCCTGCAGTCAGTGACTGAAGAATGTAAAGGTTTTAGCATCGCATAGCGTCTGCAAAGTGTTTATCTTAAGGCCATTGCTGCCCAGTGAAAGCAGTGGGTAAATGAGAGTGAGAGTCCTGTAGTCCAGGCATGTGATTTTTAGGACCCAGGCAGAGTTCCTAAATAACTCAAGTGTAAGCACCTTTTTATTGTTCGGCAGTCTTCATTTCTACTGTGACAGAATTCCTCCCATGAGACCAGGAGAGGTGATAGATTTGAGGTGTGGTTGCCAGAGTTCTTTTCCAAAATGGAGATTCAGATTTTTATATGAAGCCAATTTCCCGATTTGGTTGAGATGTACAGTTGCCATGCACTGGGCATAACTGCAGCTGAATTACCAAACTTGCCAGCTTGGTAAGTTTTAACACTTGCAAAGTCACAGAACCGTCGTCATAGCAAACATCCATCACTACCATATGTCTCCCAGGATCCCAGGCAACTACTATTGACTGCTTTTTCTCTCATTAAATTAGTGTTTTCCAGACTTCTGATATCATTGGTTTCTCTGGTGGCTCAGATGGTAAAGAATCCACCTGCAGTTAGGGAGACCTGGGTTTGATCCCTGGGTTGGGAAGATCCCCTGGAGGAGGGCAGGGCAATCCACTCCAGTATTCTTGCCTGGAGAATTCCCATTGAGAGAGGAGCCTGACGGGCTATAGCCCATGGGGTTGCACAGACTTGGACAGGACTAAGCACAGCAATATCATTGAAGAAGTCTAAATTGTTACTTTTGTAATTGTTGTTTTCTTTCCCCATGCACAGTTATTTTGAGAATCATCTAAGTTGCCGATGTGAATAACTCATTTTTTCCTGATAAATATGCTATTTGATATATTTTCATTTTATTTTTTAATCCACTCATCTCTTAAAAAAATGGGGTTTTGTGGTTTGTTTCTAGTTTGCCTGTCACAGATGAGCTTACTGTAATCATACATAAAATCCTTTATATGAACATCCAGCTTCATATTCTAAAATGAATTACTGTATGCATTTGCATTCCCTTCAACAGTATTCAGTTCCCCTGTATTCCTCACCAGTACTTGGTTGGTATGGTCAGTATTTTAAATATACCTGTTTGAGAAGTGTGGAGATGTATCTCCCTATGATTTGATTTCATTTCCCTACTGATTCATGATGTTGACCATTTTTGTATTTTATTGGCAAGTGTATGTCTTCTTTGACATAATGTCTGCTTTCTTATTAGTGACTGAGAATAAGATAAATATGTGGGAACTTGACTTTCTTTCAGTGACTGACTTTGCTGAGTGGCATAAATATTTGTACTGACAACATTATTCACCATGTATACTCCTCATTATTAACATATTTCTATTTAGGCCTAGACAGTTAATAAAAAAGGCAACTGACCTTTCCTTGTTGTATTTGCCAATTTCCCGGCATGAGTCCTCCAACTGTGGGCAATTTATGCTGTTTGTGTGTGGTTGCTACTGAACCAGAGGCGCAGCAAGCTAAATGCTGAGATGCCGAGGTTTGCTGGGGGGAATTTTCTTTCACAAGACAGCCACATGAGGACACAGAAGGACAAGTTTCAGAACCACCACCTTCTTGGAGGTGAGGTGCTTGTGATATTTAGGGGATAAAGAGGCAGCCTGCTCTTAGGTGTGGGGACACGCGATCAGAGAAAAGGTGAGTTAACTGGTGTGTGCATTACATGCTTCTTCACAGATACATGTTCATAAATGGAGGCACTTTGCATGATCTGAGCATGGAATTTTAGCCATCTGATGTCAAAATTCACTCATCAGACACCTGGGCAGGCCCAGTTTTAGGGGTTGATAGTTTTGATCATTTGTAGCCTGCTCAGACTGGAAAAGAGTTGACTCCAGGTTCCCAAGAACTTGAGACTCCTTTACTATAGTGACCCATATGTCAGAGGTGTCACCTCTAGGGCTTGTTAAGATGTCACTTCTTGTGTTAGCACCTTGGCCATGGGAAACTTATATACAACTAAAGGAAGGGGAGGGGTCCCCAGAGCAAGCTTAATCAGTGAAGGCAGCTTACAAGCAGGAGGGTTTTAACATGCTGTTTTCTTTTCTGTAGTTCTGTAATACAAGCCCAGGAATTTGTCGTTTGTCAGCTTCTGTTCATCCTTGGGGCGTGTTTCAAGGTCACCCGATGTGGACGTGGGAAGACAGGTGCAGTAGCACACCTTTGTACTCTATTCCCATTATCAGATGGCTTTATCCTTGAGAACCCAGATAATACTAAAATGCATTGAAATAGGAATGGCATGCGTTTTGAGTATCTTTACTTGGCCTATGTAAAGGAAGACATACAGGCCTGAGTTGTGCAACCTCTTCATTCCAAAGAAATGTCTGGCACTGACTTGCCCAATCCTGGGAGATAACCTCTAAGCAGTTGACATATTTGGCTCAATAAGAGTGTCTTTGTTTACCTGGGGCCTTCCTTGTGCTGGGCTGTGCAGTTTATGTTAATACTGTACTGGGATATTGAGAGGCTTAGGTTCTCGATACCAGTTTGACATTTGGAGAAGCTAGAGAGTAACAGGTCAGTCACACAGGTGCCCCTTGTCTATGTGACAGACACTCAGAAGACCTGGGCAACACCTAGGCTTGCATGGGGTTCCCTTTTAGGAATAGTAGATGTGCATTGTCATGTGTCGATGTCAGACTGAAGTGGAGTGGTAGGGGGCGACTGGAAGCTGGCAACGTGATCTCTCTTGGACTCTGTCCTATTGTGCCATCTTTCTTTGCTGATTTTTATCTGTATCCTTCACTGTAATAAGCCATGCTGCTGCTAAGTCACTTCAGTCGTGTCTGACTGTGCAACCCCATCCCTGGGATTCTCCAGGCAAGAACACTGGAGTGGGTTGCCATTTCCTTCAGTTAAACAGCTTCCATGAGTTCCATGAGTCCTATGGAATCTGAGGGTGGTCTTGGGTATTCCGGAACGTAACTCTGTTTTGAAAGGGTTTCCTTAAGGATAGTTGATGTAAAACATTTCAGCAGTGCAGGCTTTGATAAAGTCTTTCCCATGCTTATACTTCTCAAGCCAAAAGTTTTCTCATGCCATTTGAGAGTTGTCCCCCTTTTAACTATAAAATACAAACCTAAAATCCTTTCTGGAGTAGATATTTTTCAAACATAACAAAAATGGGAAGGGCCCTGTTTGATGCCCAGTGAACCAATTTGCAATTTTCCACCATTATTGATAATTTCTTAGGTATTGTTCATTCATACTCTCACATTATGGGTCATTTTCACATAGAACGCCTAGCCTTGTCCTGTCTCAAAAGACTCATGTTAGTACTTATTTTCACAAGATCGAAAGAAACCTGTGAAGGATTTTAGTCACTTTTATGAAAAAGCCATTACACCATATGAATGGAGGTTCTTCCATAAAACTGAAGTGGGGTATCAGAACTTTGAGAAAGAAGGGTATACTCCTCCTTTATGGCGTCTCAGTTTACGAAATGTTTTCTAGGAAAGCTGTGCTTCAGGATGGCAGGAGCAACCTGTAATGTATGTTACTAAATTGTATTCCTTTCCTACAGCCATTGTAATGAATAAGCTCAAAGTTGATGGTTTCAGACAGCATCTGTTTAATTATTTCATTGTTCTGGAGTCAGAAGTCTTAAGTCACTTTCACAGGGGTGAAGTCAAGGTGTTGGTAGGGGCATGGTCTCTCTAGAGACTCTAGTGATGAATCCCCATCCTTGCCTTTTCCAAACTCCAGAGCTGCATTCCTTGTGTTTGTTGACTCAAGACCACTTCTTTCATCTTCCAAGAGCAGCAGTGCAGCATTTCAGTCATCAGATCGCCTTCCTCTGCAGAGTACATCTCCCTCTGCTTTTCTTTTATGAGGAGACTTGTGTGTACACCCCCAGGCAAACATGAACTTTAGGCCAGTCTCATCTTAAAATCCCTAATTGCACTGGCAAAGTCTCTGACCGTGTAAGGTAATAGCTGCGAGGTTCAGGGATGAGGAACCAGTTGTCTCTGGGGATATTAATCAGCCTGCCACTTTGACTCTGACTCTTTTAATAATGTGTTTGTTTTAAGGTATATTCATTGCAGTCATGATGCAAAACATTACTTGTTGTAGATTAATTGTCTTTAATCTCTTAAGTATGACCTTGTAAAAAAATTTTCCAAAATGTTGACATTTTTGAGTCCTGTACCTAATTGGGATCTGCCACATTCTCAGTTTCATGTTCTTAAGTTCTCAGAATTTTAGAATGCTGGATGCCTTGTGTTTGATCTCTTGCTATGTGTGCTGGCCCCTCCTTTTTCTGTCTTTCACATAGGACTGACCTCTTTCAGGTGCCACATCAGCAGAGCAGTAAGGACCCTGGGTGTGTGATAGTGTGGGCGTTACTATATCAATGACAAGAGATGCTTAAAAGTACATGATGATGTTGTGAGGTTACTAGGAAAGTTGTAATGACAGAGCTGGGTGCCTGTCCTGTGTTCATCGTTGACTGATGCTTTGATCACTGGACACACATCATTTTTTCCCCTTTTTTCTTTTTGTTGCTACACTCCAGTGACACCTGTGCAGCCTTCACTGGTCACATGTGCTCTTTCATTGCTCCCTTTACGGTGTTTCACTTTTGACCTACATGTTAGATGTTATGAAGTCTGTACATATTCTTACAGTCCTTGAAGTGAGGCATTGCTTTTGAGAGTCAGGTATGTCTATGTCCATCAGCAGTGTTCAACACAGCGCTCACTAGTCACCAGTGGCCATATGTGTGTTGAAAACCATTTGATGAGAACCGACTTGGTGGCTGGCCCAAGTCCATCTTTGTCCTTCATTTCTTTTGTCTTTTTTTTTTTCCCTGACACCACATGACTTGTAGGATCTTGGTTCCCTAACTAGAGATTGAACCTGCGCCCACAACAGTGAAAGCTTGGAGTCCTAATCACTGGACCAGCAGGGACACCCCGCTTCCACCCAGCCTCATTTGTTGTTTGTAGAGAAAGGCTCCAGTTTCCTAGACATTCCCTGGTTGCAAAGAGCAGTCTTAAGCAGTTCCTAAGCAGAGATTCTAGAGAGTCCAGAAAAAAGGAAAAGCAGTCAAGTAAGAAAAGTTATGATACCTTGAACAATAAGTCAGTGATAGAGGAATCAGAGGAAGTCTACTGCTTCCCAAAGGGATGTAAACAATAATCTAAGGCATGTCCTTGTGGTGTTTTACAGAAAGAAATTTGTACCTGGGTTGAGGATGGTGACTACATGCTGACCACAAGCACATTGACCTGAGTCTTCCTGGAACCAAAAGGTTGCTGATGAAGATTCCTGAAGCATTGCCTTGTTAACTTACTACCAACCAATCAGAAGAAAGTAGGTGAGTGCAAACAGGTTCAGTTCAGTAACACGCTAGACTGTTTAAAATATCTGCTAGCTGCAACTTTGCAGTTTCAGCATTCTCCCTTGTAACTGTACAGCCATTTCAGACCCAAACCAATCTTTGCTTTGCAAGTACCCTTGACTTCCTTGGTGGTCCAGTGGTTAAGAGTCCAACTGCCAGTGAAGGGGACACAGGTTTGATCCCTGCTCCAGGAAGATTGCACATGCTGCAGGGCAACTAAACACATGAGCCACAACTGTTGAGCCCATGCCCTAGAAATCATGCTCTGCAAGAGAAGCCACTGCACTGAGAAGCCTGCACACCGCAACTGGAAGAGCCCCCACTTTCCACAACTAGAGAAAGCCCACACATAGCAACGAAGACTCGGTGAAGCCATCAATAAATAAATAGAAGCACTGTTGATTGTTGCCAGGTCCAATTTTAATTCTTGGCAAACAACTTATGGAAACAACTCTGGCCTTTATTTTTTGCCATTATAAGCTTTCTCCATTTTTCAGTTCAAGGTTGAACAATTCAAGTGCTTCTCGCATCTCTGTCTCCTGGGCTGCTGTCCTAACAAGCCCTCAATAAATGCTTGTTTAGTTCAATTAGGTCTTCATTTCTGAAATTTTGGTTAATGCTCAGTAATAAAAATATTATGTAATTTACTATGTTGTCATTAATTTTTACTGTCCATTGCCTTTAACTTGAATGATAGCCTCATGAAAGCTTTAGTCTTTGACTCTGTGGCCCTTGATGTGTGCCATGCTGCCAAAATAGTACCTGTAATTGGATAGATAGTTAATATCTGTTTTTTTAAAGAGGGAGTAAATATGATGCTATAGATACTTTATTTGTTTTTAAGTATTCTGGCAAAGCTGTCTGCTCTGTTTTCATAGCCCATCCAGGTGTACTTAAAACTTTTTAAAATAAATTAATAGATCACATGTTACAAAACTATAATCACAGGTTGGCAAAGTTTCCTAGGTAACTGTGAGCTCTGCTTCATTCCCTTACTTCTCAGAAATCATTGTGTCTAGGGACCTTGCTGAGATCTAAATGTTCACATGGTGAAAAGTGATTTTGACCACTAACTGAATAATAAAATAATGATTGGTTTCAGCAGTTATAACACTTCACAAATATTTTCAAGTCTTCTTGCATTTTTACTGCAGTTGCTGGTGAAATTATATTGTCCCCAGCCAGGAAAGAGGATCTTGTAATCCAGTACTTTATCTCAGGCTTCAGTTGCCCCCTTTGGAAATATACTAGGACTGAGATTATACAGTCACTGTCCGGGGAGAAAATAGCATGCAGGAAGTCACTTTTCAGATAGGTAGATCTTAGCTGCTAGAAAAGGAATGAATACACATCAAAATGTGAAGTAAGAAATATGTGTCAGGTCTTGGATTGGACATTGTCACTTGGTTTACATTTCTTCTGAGGCTACCAGAGACAGCATGTGGCCCGCTTGCTTCTGGTTACCCGTCACCCCTCCTCTGTCTTGCTTGCTATGGCTCTGTCTTCACTCTGCTTCCTTGACCGTGACCAAACACAGTGACACTCATAAATCTAAAGCTTCAGCATACAGGTATTGGTAGAGCAATAAGATAGTTTATTAGATGCACTTTCTGTCAGAGTGACAACCTTGTATCATGTGCCCATTTGCTCTTTAAGTTTGGGAGACATCTGAGATACTCTATCTGGGTTCCTCTCTTTTTTTAATTTTGACTGCCTCAGGTCTTAGTAGTGGCATGTGGACTTCCTTGACCATGGACTTGGTTGCCCCTCTGCGTGTGGAATCTTCCGGGACCAAGGATCCAACCCCAGCTTCCCCTGCATTGCTAGGCAGATTCTTTACCACTGGGCCACCAGGGAAGTCCCAATATCTGGGTTCCTCCCTCTCATCAGCACAGACTACATTCCACGGAAATCTGTGTGTGTCCCCTTTAAGTAGTGTGTTCCAAGGAAATCTGGGTGCGTCCCCTTTAAGAAGGGTGAACCCCGCCAGTATTCGGAGCCTTAGGGTGAGGCTAAATTTTCCCTCACTAGGGTAGCAGCGCCCCTTGCAGTGCCCTAGAGCGATGTTAACTACATTACCCGGAATGCAAGGCGCGGGGCGTATGGGTCACTGGGCCAACTGAAAGCTCAGGACTGAGGCACTTCCGTTGTAGAGGACGGCGTCCAGGCGGGTCTTCCGGCGTCCAGAGCGGCGACGTTTTTAAACTCTGATCTGGTAGCTGCTGGGGAAGTTTGGGTCTTAAAAGGTCCCCAGGTAAAAACGCTGTGCCCGCTGTTCTGAGGAGGGTCTGAGGCTGCGTGGCGCCATCCGGCCTGATTCTGACTTGGGTCCGGGACAGGCGCCGCCACCCGGGCCCCACCGCTCTCAGGCTCTGCTGAGACGGCCAGCTGACAGATCCGCTTGAGGTAAACGCTGCCCTCTCCGGGCTTTCAGCCAACTCTTACCGTTCTGCGGTATTTTTGTTCTTATCTGTGTTTTCTTACTAGTGTCCTCTGTGTGTATGTGTATTTCTTTCCCCAAACCTCTGTTTTTGTAATTTTGAAATATCTGCGTGGGAAAAAAAAAATTGCTGAGATCTTTCACCTGCAGTTGAAAAAGCAGCTGTTATTAATAGCCGTTCACTGGTTAAGTCGGGAAACGAGATACAGGTAGGACCCAAAAGCCGCCTGTGGAGGTTCTGCCAAAACAATTATCCTGTCTCCCAAATGTTAAGGCGTTGTCTGATGTTTCAGGTGAGCATTGCTTTACTTTCTTGATAGTTTTGCCGGCTATGTGGAAAATATTCGACGACTGAGTTTCCCTTTGCTCAGTTTTAAAACTTTCCTGTGACTGAAATCATATAAGTATTTTATGTTTTTCTTCACTTGCACAAGATGGTGTGACTTTTCCCATTTTCTTTATGGCTATTTGCTAATTTTTCATTTTTTGTAATTTTATATAGTGAGTGAGTAAAATGTCTATAAATCCTGCTGTTGAAGGCTTTCTCTCTCTGTCTGTCTCTCTCTCTCTGCTTTCAGTATTTATAATCATTGCTATTCTAGCCATACCTTGTTAGTGTGTATTTAAATGAACGTTTCCACTTTTTGATCTTTTGCTCCATGTTATTAATTTTAGCTTAGTTCTTTGAATGAGATGATTGTACTTACTAATGGATCCTGTAGTTGTATTTTCATACACACTCATGCATTATGTAAAGTTAACAGTTTTACAGTATACAGCCACTTGGAGGTTTTCTGCTTTTTAATTTTTTTTTCTGCTTTTTTAGTGATCGTATTCTGCTAGTAATACTTATTTTACTATTAAGTCATTGTCCTCTGATGATATTGGAAGAGAAAATGATTAACATATCTTGTTAAAATACTTGTTTTCAGGGAGACTAAATTAATCATTGTGATGATAGAATGTTATAATGCTTGAAATTCCTATCAAGATGTTTAGAACCCAAGAAGATACTTCCATGTTTATATAATGAGGGTGGAATAAAGGTCAGGTCCTATAGGTTTCTTTCTCTGTTTTGGGTTTGAAGAGTCATCAGTGATGTCCAGTTATCTCAAACTGTTGGAAGCCAAGCAGTTTTAGATTCTAGTAACAACCCCTTTATCACAGATTAATTTTCTGGTCCCATTTTTTTCTTGTAACTCTGTTTTAGTCTGTTTGAACATCTTGAATTCTATTATATAATGTTCTAATAATTTTAGATCAGAATTTAGTGTATAGCAATTTTTTAAAAAGTAATTTTTAAGATTACCAAAGTAAAATTCGAAAAGGAATCATAAACTGTTCAGAAGTTAGGTCAAACTGTAGTAATCTATGAGAACAGAAAAATGTTTTATTGGCAAGGGAGAAAAGAGAAGAAGCCAGTCAAATGAAAGTGTCAGAAACAGATATACTTAATTTTGATATATTAATACCTGGCTTACAGCTATAATAGGGGTTTCCGTGGTGGCTCAGCAATAAAGAATCTACCTGCAATCTCGGAGACACAGGCTTGATCTCTGAATAGGGAAGGTCCCAAGTGAGTCCCTGGTGGCTCAGAAGATAAAGAATCTGCCCGCCATGTGGGAGACCCAGGTTCGATCTCTGGGTTGGGAAGATCCCCTGGAGAAGGAAATGGCAACCCATTGCAGTATTCTTGCCTGGAGAATCCCATGGACCAAGGAGCCTGGTAGATTATAGTCCATGGGGTCACAAAGAGTCAGACATGACTAAGTGACTAACACTAAGGAGGGCATGGCAACTGACTCCAGTATATTTGGCTGGAGAATCCCATGGACAGAAGAGCCTGGAGGGCTACAGTCCATTGGGTCACAGAGAGTCAGACACAACTGTAGTGACTGAGCATGCACACACAGAGCTATAATAGTCCTATATGACTTGCCACAGCATTTCATCTGCAACCTGATATCTCATTCTTCGGGATCATTGAGCTCCAGTCATACTAGACTCGTGGATACTACTCAGGCACATCAGACATGACTGATAGGCTTTGCACTTATTTGTCCCACTCTTGGAAAACCTTTTCTCAAGATATCCACATGACTTTATTGCATAACTCCATAACATTTTCTTTCATCTTTTACATGCTTTCGTTTTCCCTTGAGTATTTGTCTTTGCCTTAAATGTTAAATGGTTCACTCGTTAGTCATCTTTTTTGTTTATGTAGCTGGTGGAAATTAAAGTTACATTGCCCTGCTCTTTCCACGTTCAGCGGAACCACTTATGGACTGTTCACTGGTGAGTGTCGGGGGTCCTGGAAGTGTTTTGCTGCTATTCTTCCTGGACTTGGTACCTGGAAACCGTTCAGAAACCCTCAGCCCAGGTTTACAAGTCCAGGTCAGAGATAACTTGAAGAGATTTCCATTTTGGGCACCCACTGGACTGAGAAGTTGTCTTAAGTTCATGGGAAAGTCCACACAGATGCTTGAGCATGCAGTTGAGATGGGTGTGTTTTAGAATTTGTATGTCTCTGTTAAAAGTCTGGTAAGAACAGAGAGCAAGGGGACAAGAGCTAGGGTAGACTGGTAGTATGAGAAGATGGGTTTCTGTTCTGAGAATGATAGTGGAAATAGAATTTTTGGAATGGAGAGGAAAAGTGATGTGACTTAGGTTTTAAGAGGCTGCCTCTGGCTGCAGAGTGCACAATCTCTTGGGGGAGAGGAAGACAAGAGAAAATCAAAGGAAAAAAAAAAAGATAATCAAAGGACTGTCTTAATTTTCCAGATTTGCATTGGTTATAGCTGGATCAAAGTGGTAGATGTAAAGGTAGGAGGAATATTTGGATTTTAAGTAGAGGCTAACCAGATTTTCCAATATGGAGGGCTCACATGCCTCCAAAGTCTTTTTATTTGCATCTGGAAGAGTGGAAGTGTCATCAACTGATTTGGGAAAGTCAGTGGTTTTCAGTGAGAGTATTAGGAATTGAGTTTCAGCCCTGTTGAGCCTCAGATGTTCCAGTGACTCCCAAGTGTAGGAGACAAGTGGATGACTGAACATGTAGATCTAGAGTGCGGGGGAGGCTTCAGGATGCCATTAGGGGACAGAGGAGGAGAGGGGGTACTGTCACAAGACAGACAAGAGGAGTGGTCATCATCGAGAAGGGAAGGGGAAGTCCAGATAGTAGGTCAGGTTTCTTTGGGAGAATGGCTTTGAAATTGATGCAGAATGAAAGCAGAAATGGAGAAGAAGTGATAGCAAAGTCAGGCTGGTGCATATTTCCCTTCCTGTGACTCACCTGGCTTTTGTGGTTGAACTTGGGAAGTTTGTGACAGGATGTCAGATGAGTTTACTGAAGATGTGTCAAGCAGGTGTGTTCATATAACACCATTTTAAATGGGTGTTATATGAACAAAGATTGTACCTGTTGAAAAGACATAATGTGCAGTATGGAAGTGTAGCTGGACCAGGGGTATCTAGATATGCATGTTGTGACTGAGGATAAAGTCAGGACCAAGGGCTGGTAGGGAAACCTTCAGAACAGGGCTGGGGAGCTACCAGTGAAGAGTTGGGGTGTGGTGGGAACCTGTTACATTGACAAGGATTTTCTGTTGCCATGTGCAGAAGGGTCTATGAGGAGACAGGAGATATACCAACTTTGTGGTCCAGAGTATGGACTGGGGTTAGGGTACTTACGGGATCCTAGGGAGAGAGGCTGCTTATGCACACACTGTCCCCATCATCCCAGGGCCCTGTGACCTTTGACGATGTGGCTGTGTACTTTTCCCAAGAGGAATGGAGGCTCCTTGGTGAGGCCCAGAGACTCCTGTACCATGATGTTATGCTGGAGAACTTTGCACTGGTTGCATCCCTGGGTAAGGCCCTCACCCCTGTCCTAGCATTCTGGCCAGTTTTCTGCCTTTCCCCTTTCTCCAAAGGCAAGTCTGTTTGTCTTAACAGCTGGACAGTGGGCACCTCTCTCTTAATGCTTACAAGTAGCCCCAACGCCAGCTATTCTGAAATTTTCTCAGTGAAGCTTTTATAGGTCAAATGATTTGAATCAGCTCAGTGAGTTCCATTTCTCTCAACCATTGTGTGCTAAGTTGATTCTGTAGACCTCTGCACCTCTGTCCTCCAGAGTCTTTTCCCTTCCAGCTGACATTTCCTGGGGCTCACTATTCCAGTAATTGTTGGGATCCAACGTGGTCCCTATTTAAGAGGTACTCTTGGCTGTTTCTGTGAAACCATCATAGAAGATTCTTTGTACTATTATTTTGGACTCCTGAGCCATTACTGACCACTCACCTGTCCTTTCTTTCTCTTAGCACTTACATCTTCTAGGTCCCATGTTACTGTCCAGTTGGAGTTGGGTGGAGAATCTTTGGTATATAGGACCAAAGTGGACATGATTCTATCGTCAGGAAGAAGGGCTCAAAGTGGGTCTGGTCCTGGTGATTGGCAGCATGGGGAGGAGATGATATGGCTAGGTTCAAATCAAATTTGAAGCCTCCCCTGGCCCCAACGCTGTCTACAGTCCACAACCAGTGACTGATTATCTCATTTCTGTTTCTCTTCAGCTCCTGACAGATTCCTTCTGTGATTTCTACTCTAGCTTCCAACCCAGGATTATTTCTCATATCTCTTTCTTCCACTCCTCATTATTCTTCAGCATCCTCACTCTCATGCTTTCCATTTTTCACCTATGCTTAATGTGTCACGAGGCTTGCATCTAGCACTGAAATAGTCCTGAACGCCAGCTGTTCAGTGACAATCAGAATATCCTGGGCCTGGACATAGCTTTCCACACAGCACACATGTGTCACCAGCAGCCAAGGCCCTGGTGAAAACTGTTCCTATAGGAGTATATTGTCTGATTGTGGCTCTTTACACTACTTCCCATCTTTGTATGTTTGCCTGGTGAATCTTCCCTATTCTGTGATCTGCAGAGGCCCAGTACAGCAGATCGGGGCTTTCCTGTCCTACCCACAGTTCATTTTTCCTGTTGGATTTAATCTTTCTATGTCAGACACAAATTTGTGATGGAGTTGCCTCTTTGTACATTTTTCTCCATGAAGTTCACTACCAGGTTTTCTTTTTAATTTCAGGGTGTTGGCATACAGCAGAGAATGTTTCTGTAGAAGTGCCGCAGAGAAATACCAAAAAGACAGACCTGTCCAGCCAGAAGATCTGTCCCTGGGAGATGGGTAACCTGGCCTTAGAAGGTGGTTTGTGTGTACCCGAGGCCCTGCGAACAAACCCTGGCCAGACACTGTGTGGGACAGATGTGAAATCCCACCAGCACGGTGGAGAGAAACTCATGAGAAGAGATTTGGGTAAGGCCTTATTGAAGAACTGCACAGTCCATGCATTGGAGAAGGCTTCTGTGTGCCAGGAGGTGAGGAAGGATTTCCCTGGTAGCTCTGGCCATGTCCAGCACCAGGTTAAACCACAAATGATGGAGTTTGTAGCAGAGTTTCACAATGGAGAAAAGCGTTTCAAGTGCAATGAGTGTGGGAAACTCTTCTACCGGAAGTCTAGGCTTGCTCAGCACCATAGAGTCCACACCGGAGAGAAGCCTTATGAATGCAGTGAGTGTGGGAAAGTCTTTAGATGCAGCTCCAGCCTTGCTATACATAGAAGAATTCACACAGGGGAAAGGCCTTATGAGTGTAGAGAATGTGGAAAATTCTTTAGGCAACACTCCCAGCTTGTTGTGCACCAGAGAATTCACACTGGAGCCAGACCATATGAATGCAGTGAATGTGGGAAAACATTCAGTACTAAAACCAAACTTGATCAGCACTGGCGAGTCCACACCAGAGAGAGGCCTTATGAATGTGGAGCATGTGGGAGAACTTACACCTGTAAACGCATGCTTGAGCAACACCAGCTAGTCCACACTGGAGAGTGGCCTTATGAGTGCAATGAGTGTGGGAAAGCCTTTAGGTACTTTTCCAGCCTTTTTATGCATAGAAGAATTCACAGTGGGGAAAGGCCTTATGAGTGTAGTGAATGTGGGAAGTCTTTTAGGCAAAAGGCCCACCTTCAAGGCCACCAGAGAATTCACAGTGGAGCAAAGACTTTTGAGTGCAGTAAATGTGGGAGATGTTTTAGCCAAAAGTCTGTTCTTACTAAACACCAGAGAGTCCACACTGAAGAAAGACCTTATAAGTGTAGTGAATGTGCGAAATGCTTTAGGGATAGAACTAGTCTCATTAAGCACCTGAATTTACACTGGAGAAAAGCTACCTAAATGCACTGAATGTGGAGAAGTTTTTAGCCAAAGTTCACCGGAAAAGAGTTTCACACCACAGAAGGGCCTCACAAGTACAGTATTGTGGAAACTTGGTGGTTTTCTTTTCTTTTTTTTTGGTCAAACGTCTACTCCAAGCACCAGAACCATTGTGGCACAGGTAGACCCAAGAGTACAGAGCATGTAGGAAAGTTTCCGCTGAAGGTCTAACCTCATCTATCACCACAAAGTTCATACTTGAGAAAGGCCTTCAAACCAGAGGAAGAGACCAGCAAGTGAGCTGTGTCTAGTGAATACATCTTACTCAGCAGGCTCTGTGAGGGAATCATCGCCTGGAAGTTGAATGCCAGCCACCTACACAGCCCTAGTATGGAGATGGCCTGTGGGTACCCGATTCATTGGAAGTTTCTAAGAAGCTAAGATCTACTTCCTAACCTGTGCAGCGGCCTTGCCAGATTTCTGGTCATTGTGAGTTTTTTCTACCAAGTGGCAGATCCTCATATGGCCGTCAGTCCCCTCTGTGAACAGAGTAGGTAGACCTTTGTGCTCTCCGGTTCCTTGAAGGAAAGCATGTGTAACCTGAGCACTTGGGTGGTGTCATGCTCTTAGATCCTATCAACTGCCTAGGAAAGGAACTAAGCAGCTTTGACCTTGCACATGCACTCTGGGTTCTGATGGTTGCTGACAGAGGTTTACTTTCTTTGATGGCATTGAGTCATGTCATGCTTATGACATGTTTCTAGCTTCAAGTCACCCTACTTGACAAGTGCTTTCTTCTAAGCAATTCTTTCTTTTAATAAATAAAAACTTTTTAAAGTCACTGCATTTGTGTGTGTTTCAATCTTTGTATTCCTCACTGAGAATAGTATCATGACAGAGAATAGTGTTCACTCTAGTTTGGGTCTAGTTTGCATTGTTGTCCAAGGCCTTCTGGGGTGGACTGCAGGGTTCCTTGGGACTAATGTTGAGACCTGTGTGTGAGAATTTTAGGTGGGTCCTGAAGTTATCCTGAGATGAGGACAAGTGAGAGCCACCAGTGGTTTTTGGAGCAGCATAAATTGTTCTCTTTCTCACATGGGATGTCACATCATTCCCCCAGTATAATTCAAGGGAAGAAGTTCTGTGGGTGGAGCAGAGTCATGCCATGATATCCAGAATGTGGGCAGGCTGGTGTTGCTAAGTGTTAGGTTATAAACATCAGCAGGGAATCATACTTGATACAGAAAGCATCAGGGCATTAAAAGGAAGTAAGAGACTAGCAAACAGGTATAAAAGGGTCTTTTCTAAAGCTGCATCCAAGAATGTGAGTTTGGCTGTTTATGATCAGGGTTTTGCAGGAACTGTCCAGAGCTACAGAGCTGTTTCCTCCAGAGGCCCCAGTCAGTGTCAAACTGATTAAAGGTTTTAGCATCCCATAGTATCTGCAGATTGTGAAGGTGAAAGTCGCTTAGTTGTGTCCAACTGTTTGCAACCCCATGGACTACACAGTCCATGGAATTCTCCAGGCTAGAATACTGTAGTGGGTAGTTGGTCCCTTCTCCAGAGGATCTTCCCAACCCAGGGGTTGAAACCAGGTCTCCTGCATTGCAGGCAGATTCACAAGCTGAGCCACAAGGGAAGCCTTGTTAACTCAGAGCCATTTCTGCACACTTAAGATACTGGGGAAAGTGAGTGAAAATCCTGTAGTCCAGTAATGTGATTTTTTTTAGGACCCAGGCAGAGTTCCTGGATAACACAAAGGGAAACACCTTTCATTGCTCACCAATCTTCACTACTACTGCAACAAAATCCCTCACATAGACAAAGAGATGTGATGGTGTTAATGTGTGGTTGCCAGGGTGCTACTGAAAAGGAGTTTCAGAATCAGTGTCAGGGGATTTCCCTAGCAGTCTGGACTCTGCTCTCTCACCTCCAGGACCCTGAGTTTGATCCCTGGACAGAGAACTGAGATCTGCAAGCCACCCAGCTGTGGGAAAAAAATTCAGATTTTTATGAGGTGTCAATTTCTACTAAAATTTAATTGTGCTGTTTAGTTGGTATGCATTGAAATGAAAAGCCCTACAGTGTACACCTTGGCAAGTTTTAATACGTGTAAATCCACAGAACCATCATCATCATTACAAACATCCATCACTGCCATATGCACCTAACATCCATTTTAGAAGTCCCAGGCAACTAGTATTGATTTACTTTTTTCCTATGTAATTTTTCTTTGTAATTTCTAGACAATATCATTGGGGTCTTAATGTTTACTTTTATATATTTTTTCATGATGCATAATTACTTGGAGAATGATTTGCTGTTACGAGTAATTCTTTTTTTCTGAAAAATACACTATTTGGATATACCACCCATTGACTGTTCACCTGTCTTTTTTCTTTTTTTTAATGTATTTTGTTGTGCCTGGTGTTAGATGAGGTACACAGTATATTTAGTTGTACCATGGGACCTCTTGGATGCATCACTTGGAGTCTAGTTCCCTGACCAGGGATTGATCTTGGGCTCCCTGCACTGGGAGTGTGGAGTCTTAGCTACTGGACACCAGGGAAGTCCCTCCATTAATCTTTAAAAGTGTGTGATTTTGCTTATTACAGATAATATGAAGATATACATAAAATTATATGACCATGTGGTTTCATACTCAAAAGTCAATGATGATACCCTATTGCCATCCCATCGATATTGGAGCATTCCAGTTTTCTTGTATTCTTCACTAGTAGTTGGTTGATATGGCCAGTATTTTGAGTATTACCTCATTAAAAAGTGTAGCGGTAGACTTCCCTGATGGTCTAATGGTTGAGTCAGCCTACCAGTGTAGGGAACATGAGTTTGATCCCTCGCCTGGGAAGATTATTCATGTGGGGCAACTAATCTGGCGCACCACTGCTACTGAACTTGCATGCTCTAGGGCCCACGTGATGCAACTACTGAGCATGTTTGCTGCGACTACTGAAGCCCACGCACCTAGAGCCCTAGGTGCCCTGGAGCCCTTCTCTGCAACATGAAAAGCTCTTGCAGCTCAATCAGAGTGGCCCCTCCTCTCTGAAACTAGAGAAAGACTGTAGCAGTGAAGACCCAGTGAAGCCAAAAATAAAATATAGCTGTATCTCACTATGCTGATTGAAGTTCCTGAATGATTCATTCTTATATTCATTTGCCAGCTGTGTGTCTATGATAAAATGTGAGTCTTTTATTAGTAACTGAGAAAGCAAAAATTTGCTGGAAATTTTTTTCAGTGTCTTTGCTGGATGGAATAAATATTTGTGCTCACAATATTATTCACCAAGTATAGTCCTTCCTCATTATTAACACAGTTTCCATTACTTTATGTCTAGACACATATAAAAAATATACCCACCCCACTTTTGATGGTTGTGTTTGCCAATTTCCCTGATATGAGTACTCCAACTGTGGGCAATTCCATGCTATGAATATTAAGTTTTTACCGCAACAGAGGTGCAAGGAACCAAATGCTGACATGCCAAGGGTTGCAGGGGAGGAAGTTCATTCTCAATGCAGCCAAGCCAGGAGACAGTCTCATATCTACCTTCCTGAAGGCCAGGTGCTTGTGATATTTAGGGGACAAAGAGAGAGCGTGGTCTTAGGTGTGGGGACAGGTTAGCGAAAAGGTGAGGTAATTGGTGTGTGCATTACGTGCTTCTTCACAGATAGAAAAATGGTTTCCCTGAATGGGACACCGTCACTGGCTCTGCTGTTTTCAGAGGGAACCAGAGAAACAACGCAGGGTCCACCGGCTTCTTGTCGCCCCACATCCTTACTCTGCCTTGTTCACCATGACCGTGTCTGGAGTCTTTTCTCTTGACTCTGGCCTGACAGAATGCAACTCATAAATTGAGTCTAAAACTTTAGCCTACATCCATTGGAAGAGCAATAAAACAATGTCTATCAGATCCCAGATATGCATGGATGAGATAGAAAGCATCACCCACTCAGTGGACATGAATTTGGGCAACTCCGGGAGATAGTGGAGAACAGAGGAGCCTGGCATGCTGCAGTCCATGCGGTCACAAAAAGTTGAACGCGACTTAGCGACTGAACAATAACGTAAGTGGATGCACTTTATATCTGAGTGACGAGCTGGTATCATGTACCCACTTGGTTTTGTTGGTTTGGAAGCAACTGAAATATTATGTCTGGCCACCTCTCTGATCAGCTAAGACCACGTTCCATGGAAATTTTAGTTCATCCTCTTTAGGAAGCATGAAACCCCACCCCCATCCTCAGAGCCTCAGGACTGTCTTACTCAGCCAGCCTGGTGCTAAGGCGGGACGCTTCCCGCAGGCGGGGAGCTTCGCCCCTTGCCAAGTCCACAGGACACGAAAATCAGGCACTCTTTCGTCGGCGCCTCTGGACCAATGACGGCTCAGGACAGAGGCACTTCCGTTCTAGCGGACGGTGTGGGGGCGGGCCTTCCGGTATCTACCCGCGAGTCGTTCCCGCGCTCCTGCGTGCTCGTGGGGAACCTCTGAACGCTGGCCGGCCGAGGTCGGGGAGCTGGGAAGCGCTGCACCCACTGCTCAGTTTGAGTTGAGGATTGGCATGGGCGCCATTCGGCCTGACTCTGTCTCGGGCCTGGAGGTGCTTTTGTGCTCGGCCGCGTCTTCGCCAGCAAATGTCGCTGCTCCCCGGCTCGGCCTAGGTGTCTCCCATTCAGGTAAATGCCGCGTCTTCCTCCCCCAACTCTTCTCATTCAGCAGCGCTTTTCTTTATCTGTGGCCTGCTGTTGTTTAGTCGTTCAGTCGTGTTCAACTCTTCGTCACCGCGTCGACCGTTGCCCACCAGTCTCCTCCGTCCACGGAATTCTCCGTGCAAGAATACTGAAGTGGGTTGCTTTTCCCTTCTCCAGGGGATCTTCCCCACCCAGGGATCGAACCGGCGTCTCCTGCATTGACAGGCGGACTCTTAACCACTGAGCCACCTGGGAAGTGAGTGAAGTCGCTCAGTAGTGTCCGACTCTTTGCGACCCCGTGGACTGTACCCTACCAGGCTCCTCCATCCATGGGTTCTCCAGGCGAGAGTGCCGGAGTGGGGGTGCCATTTCCTTCTCCAGAGGATCTTCCC